TTTTCTCGCTGAAAGCTGTTGCGGGGCCGAACCAACATGGCCAGCATACACAATTGATGGCAGTATAGTAACATGTATTTGAAAAAGGACGCCAAAAGCTGGCGAACCACCTGGGACCCGGGGGGTGTTTTTCGATTCGAAGTTTGCTGACAACGAGGACAACCCGATTTTGTACGCGCATTTTACCGACGGGGGCTGCGTATGCAGATAGGCCTCACTAAACTAATAAAACGGCTGGAGACGCCAGTCGTACAAAACAAAAACGAACGATATCGCGCGGTTGGTCGAAAGAATGCCGCCAAGAATAACCCTCACAGCAGCAGTACTGACCACCGCTAGGCCTCACCTTGAATCTGTTGGCGTTTCGCATGCATCCTTTCTCGGTCAGGGGGAAGGCAAATGGCCCAACCGCAGGCGTGTTGTTGATGGCATCGATCACCTCCCACAAGACCAGGTATGTGACCGCCACCGACAAGCCAAACATGAGTAGGACATCCCAGTAACTGGCATCAGCCAGGATCGTCAACGCCACGGCAACGCGAACTTCCACAGCTATGGCGCCGTTGCGTGGCGATCGCAGTGCTGTGAGGTTTCCGACCGACGCCCGGATAATTTTTGCAGGTCATGCGAGTGTCAGAGGTGGCATGTTTGCAATCGCCAGCACCTTAGTGGCAACCTATGACGGGGGACGCATGTTCTCGACCAACTCGTCAAATTGCCGGTTCAGTCCACCTCCCGACTACGGTACTTAGACGGCTCTGTGTTTATCACCTACACACACGATATCTTGCACATGAGGAGCAGTGTCGAATGCTGTTGTGTCATTGCGGGATACGACATTCTGCATTGGCTCCCGACGAGGCATGTATTTTGTTTTTTTAGTGGTGCCGGCGTGTATTGTGATTTAACTATTAACAACATATTCGCCTGATTGAGAGCGTAGCATCTGATTGAGAGCGAGATTGCGCGATACGCTGTAGCCGGACTACCACTGAGAGGTGGAGCTTGCTGTGTAGCTTGAATTGAAGGGCTAGCCCGTAGCTTCAAGCCGCTACCCTGGTCATCCTGTGGGAGTCTCTCGTTGTGGAGCTACAGCGGGGAGCAGAAGCTACAGCAGAGCCCACCGCCCGACGCGATACCGCCCTGAAACAGTTTGAGCAGAAATAGCCAATCTGGGCAAATCTAGCAACTTGTCTAGCTCCTCGCTGCAGCATCCGATGACGATGACACGCATATGCTCGCGAAGCTGCTGATGAGACCTTCAATTTGCACCGCTTCTTGGAATAGCCCGTCCCCTACTTGCCAAGAAATGGCAAGAGGCGTCTGGACCCGAAATTTCAATTTTTTTGGCTCTCGCTCTCAATCAGATACTTCGCTCTCAATCAGGCGAATATGTTGTTTATTACTGCTGAACGGTAGTCGGC